AATTGCCGCCTAAATATTATATATTAGTGGAAGTGTAATAGCCTCGTGGTTAGTGCATTAGTCTTTAAATTTGTAGGTCGCGGGTTCGATTCCCCTTATCCGTGACTTTTTTTTCATGCATGTTTTTCAAAATAGTAATAAAATTATATGTAACATTTTATAACAATAATGATATTAACAATAATAATAACAAAATAATAATAATAGTAACAACAAAATAATAATAATAATAATAATTGTTAATATTATTAAAGAATCAACAGATATTAAAAACTATTATTACACTTGAAACAGATGTTAAGGCACTAAATATTCCTTCTCCCTCTCAAGCACTCAAAAATAAAAAATGTTTTCCAAATTCTTTATGGAATGACATTTGGAATTAAAAAGTCCAACTGAAAATTACAACCGACAGGCGTTTGTTCCAACAGTTTATTTATAAATTTATTATATATTTATATTTATATATATATTTTTTTTTTTTTAAGGAAAAAATACACTTTTTATGAACGGAAGTTGAGTGTAGTTTTCGAAGAGGTTCAACGGTTTCTCTCTTTTATAAAATACATATAATCCAATAAAGAAATGGTCCTTCTGTGGGGGGTTTTTGTTGAGCATGTTCAAAATGTGTGTACAGTGAAGCTATGTTATTTTTGGCACGCTCAAAATAGAAACCCTGACGAAGAAGAAACTAACTCTGCGCTCTCTCCCCGTTCCTATTTGCTGAACTTATACGCACCACTACTATTTAGTATACATACCCTCCAAGAGAGTTATAATAACGAGAGTTTGTGTGAAGGCTATGTGCTTTTGGCAGGCAGGATGTTATCGTTTTGGGATATCGATATTCTCAACATGCATACATATATATACTTCTCGCAGTCAAACTCGAGAGCCATTTTCACTTGTTAGACAATTTTTCACAAAATTCAAACTATTTCACCCTGAAAATGGTTTATTTCACTTTACGATTTTTCAAATTCACAAAACTATTTTAACCCGGAAAAAGTATATTTTCTATATAAGTTATTTACAAAGAATAGCCAAACGAATGTTCGACAATCCAGAAAATCAAACTGTATATTTGTTAACAAATCGAAAATTTGCGGAAATTTAATTTTTCAAATTCTGTACAAATAAATGAAGTCAATGAAAAGAAAATAAATTTTTGCCATTGGGAAAAATTGTTTTAAAAAAATATCGTCATTTAATTCCGTTTAATTTGGAATTTAGACGAATTATAAAATTTCAAGTGGATCAGCTGTTCTATTTGTCCGCCGCCATGTTGTTTCTCGCAATTTTCAGAAGTGACGGAATACAGTACGAAAAAGTTTCTAGAAAAAAAATTTGGACCTTTTTGGTATTTTGAAATAAGAATTATTGGACCTTTTGGTTTTTAGAACAAAGAATTATTGTTATTTTTATTATTATTATTATTATTATTATTATTGTTTTTATTATTTATGATTGTAATAATATAATTGAATGCAAAGTTTCGTAAGTTTTAATAATCATCGCACGGCATATATATATATTATAAATTATAATTAATGAGAAATAGTTTATATATAAAATCTCTTCCGTAAAATAACATGACATGAGAATAATCAGAAACTTAATGGACTCATATTTGCAAATCGAGCGAATGGTACTTAGCATCAGTTTTGCAATAAAATTGTTTTTCTTTTCTGTTCACGGGACCAATCTCACAGCAGTGCGCATATATAATTTACGATTGCCCTCAATGATAAATCTCTAATACACGATTTCCAGTGATTATATGCGGGCAGAGAAAATATGACATGTATATTTCATTCATGCATCTTTTATTACACTGGGATCTTAAAATGATCTTCAAATTTATATATATAAATGCGTATACGACGCGTATACATTCAATTAGATGTAAAACAGTCAGGTATGATGACTGTTCCATATTTAATTCCGCGTATAATATATGAATATTAGTCACTTCGATATATCAATATTTATAAAAATAAAAAGAATAAATTGCGTATGATTCAAATGTTCACACCTATAGAGAAATGTTTTATTGGAATCAAATATCAACTCAGAAATAAAACATTTAACAGCATGCAATTGTTAGGAATTTAATATTAATTTTTCGAACATTTTTCTTTTAAAATATTAAATAAATTTTGTTTTTTGTTAACGACTCTAAAATATAATGAGGAAGGGCAGTTAGATGCACAAGTTTTAATAATTAAAAAAATTAATTATTATCACAATTTTCCGGAAAGTATCAAATTATTGGTACTAAAGTGGATCAAATTGATGCCAATAATTTGGATTTTTTCGGATACATTTTTGGTATTAACAGAGTTGCCGTAGGTCAGGGAAATCAGGGAATTCAGGGAAAAGTCATGAAAAGTAAAATTGGTCAACTATTTACAAATTTTTTATAAATTTCTTCGCAATAATTCAATTATTTTCATAAATAATAAAATTTTTTACAGAGATTCAATTATTTTCATTAATAATAAAACTCATCATAATAGAATTTCAATTATTTTTAATACAATTTTAACCGAATTTCACGAAAAATTTAATTATTCTTGAAAATTTTATTAAAATTCGTCGACAAAATTCAATTATTTAAAAATATCTTGATAAAATTCTTTATGAGAATTCAATTTTGAGGAACACTCATTTTATTAATAAATAATTTTTTCATTATTTTATTTAAATAATTGAATTCTCGTAGAATTTTCTAATAAAAATATTGTTTTAAAAATGAATTTTAGCCAAAATTTTAGATGATAATTGAATATTAAAAGCATTATAGCACGAATTTTAAGAAGTAATTGTATTTTGAATTAATTGAATTTAAATTTAAATTTTTTAATTTTGTTTAATTGAATTTTTTTTTTGAAATTATTTGAAGATTTTAATTTCTAAATATTTAATTGAAGAATTTCCGATTAATCAAAATTTCGTAAAATTAAATTGTAAACAAATGGACTAAAAAATTCTTTAGGAACTTTTGCAAAAATTATTAAAAATAATTGATAATTGTTCATTAATTTTTTGGAAGAATTTTAATAAAATTTTTGAAATTAATTACATTTTTTGAATAGAATTTGCTTAAAATTGTATTAAAAGTAATTGGAATGCTGTGAAAAATTTTATTATTTAGAAGAATAATTGAATTCTTGCAACGAATATTTATTACTTTCTTTTAAATAAATGAAATCCTGTTAAGAATTTTAAAATTTATGAAAATAATTGAAATCTTGCTAAGAATTGTATTACATTTCTTTTAAATAATTGAAATCCTGTGAAGAATATTATTATTTATAAAAATAATTGAATTATTGCAAAGAATTTTATTACATTTCTTTTAAATAATTGAAATCGTGTGAAGAATATAATTATTTATAAAAATAATTGAATTCTTGCAACGAATTTTTATTACATTTTTTTAAATAATTGAAATCTTGTGAAGAATTTTATTATTCATAAAAATAATTGATTTCTTGCAACGAATTTTTATTGCATTTTTTAAAAATAATTGATATCCTGTGAAGAATTTTATTATTCATGAAAATAATTGAAATTTTGCAACGAATTTTTATTACATTTTTTTTAAATAATTGAAAACCTGTGAAGAATATTATTATTTATAAAAATAATTTAATTATTATAACGAATTTTATTACATTTTTTTTAAATAATTGAATGTTTTAAGAAATTTTAATAAAATAGTAGATTTTGAAAATATTTTAATTTCAGAGAAGAATTGTTTACATTTATGAAATGTAATTGAATTCTTGCAAAAATTTTTGAAAATTAAAATTCCTCGAAAAACATTTTTTTGATTTTAAAATTGTATTAAAAATAATTGAAATGGTGTGAAGAATTTTTTATTATTCAGAAGAATAATTGAATTCTGGTATTAAATATTTATTTTTTAAATAATTGAAATCCTGTTTATAATTTTATAATTTATGAAAATAATTAAATTTTTGCAACAAATTTTATTAAATTTTTTTTTAAATAATAATTGAAATCTTGTAAAGAATTTAATTATTTATGAAAATAATTGAATTCATACAACGAATTTTATAGCATTTTTTAAAATAATTGAATTCTTTTGAGAAATTTCATTAAAATAGTCGAAAATAGTAGATTTTGAAAATATTTTAATTTCAGCTAAGAATTTCATTATTAGTGAAATGTATAATTGAATTCCTGCAAAAAATGTTTGAAAATAATTACATTTTTCGAGGAATTCATTTAAAATTGTATTAAAAATAATTTAAATCCTATCAAAAATATTATTATTTATGATAATAATTGAATTGTTACAACGAATTTTATTATATTTTTTTAAAAATAATTGAATTGATGTGAAAAATTGTATTACTTATAAAAATAATTGAATTCTTGCGAAGGATTTTATTGAAATTTTGGTAAATAATTTAATTTTTTTTTTGTAAAATTTTATGGAAATATAAGTTATTATAAAACATGAAGAATATAAAATTTTAATAAAATAATAATTTTAATTATAATTAATATTAAATAATAAAATAATAAAATAATAAAATAATAAAATAATAAAATAATAAAAATAAAAGAAGACACTTCGAGTCGAAGACTCAAAGTGCTCGCTATCTTTATGTTTTATAATAATATTCTTAAAAGTTATTGAATTTTAGAAGACTTAAATTTAAATGTGTTTGAAATCTTATTAAATCTTATTCAATATATTAAGAAAAAATGGTCGAAAAATTAACATTGAAGATCTAAGAGTCACATGCTATTAAATACTTTATTTGGTTGTATAAGCCTTAATTTTTATAGGTTCCTCTAAATCAGTGTATGATTTTATTTTCAGTGTACGATTCAAATGATATGTTTACATTTTTATGATTTATTAATAATAGTCATTAACGAGCTGAGAGAATTGAAGAAATTGTATCTAATAATTTTTTGTGTACTATTAAGAATAAAGGAAAAAAATAAAGTATACTTACGTCTGGATGTTCTTTGACAGGTACATATACTTTTTCTGTGAGTGTGGTGATTTCACCTTCCGGTTCTGGTAAGACAAGTGGTTCCTTTTTGACACCACTTATTTGAAAGAGACTGGCGCGAACCTTGGCAATTTCTGAAAAAAGAAAAAGTAAAAAATGTAAAAAATTGCGTGGAGACTATATAGATGTGTGTATATACATATATGCCTTCTAAAAGTTGTTTGTGGGTTCAAGGTCATTTGCATCGGATGCAGTTAATTGGCGATTTCAATTTCGGAGGGCCGAAAATAATTAGTATCTTCAAATTACCGTGGGATTCAAAATAAAATTCCCATAATATATATGAATGTCTATTTACATCTTTATATTCGTTTTACGATTAAAATTGTACGTGGAAAAAAGGAATGAAGTAGAGAATAGAGATAAAAAAAGGAATAAAGTAGCTTTTAGTACCGACTTTTATTGTTCTTTTACAGAAAAAAATTTAGTGGTAACAAGCAAATTTTATGTTTAAGAAACCGAATGCATTGCTATAAATAGTTCAAGAAATATTTTTATTTGTTTCGACTAAAAATTTGTTTCAACAATTTAAATTATTCTAACAATAAAAATAATTATAAAAAAGTTTTTGAGGGATAAAATGATGGTTGAATTGCTCCACTTGAGAACGCCAAGGTCACCACCAGGTGGCTCGGGAAATTCCAAGAAAGATCTGAACTGCCACCTGGCGGTGGCCTTGGCGTTCTCAGGTGGGGAATAGAAACTCGACATTTAATCTCAAAATTTTCGTCTATATTCACAATTCAATTATTATTTCTAATCAGATTATTGGTAAAATATTCTGTAAATAGTAATAAATAAATAAAACAATAAAATAATAAATTCTCATAAAATTATTTGAATAATAGATAAAAATACTATAGGATAAATTTTCTAATAATGAAAATACATCTTAGATACGAGTAACAATGTAAAAATACAAACAGGCGAAGAAGAATATATTATATAAATTTATAATAAATTTATAATAAATTCAAAAAAGAATGAAGAATTACCTAACAATGTTTTAATCTCAGTGCATGTGAGAAAGTAAAATTGCAAATTTAAAGGAAAAAAGCGAAACTAAAAGAGAAAGAGTTTAATGCAGAGCATGCAGAGTAGTGACTGTAATACGCAAGATAATAATGTAAGAGGATCTCGAGCGGATCAAAGTGTGTCTCGCAATTCGCAAGTAGAGTTGTAATATATGTATAATGCGATGTGAGGAGAAATGCATTACGCCGCGAAAATTAGCGCGTTCATGTATTATAAGCGCATTGCTCGTGCATATATTTTTCAAATTCTACTGATTTACATAAAACATTGATTGTAGACACATGTGCGGCATTATGTTGAACTTCTTTTTTCTCATTTTAATTCTATGCATTTGCCCATGTAGAATAAATATACATACAAACAAATATTATTCTAATCAATTAGTTTATAATTAATTCAGTTGCATTTTATTATTACTTTTAAATTAAATAATTGTATCTTTATCTTTAACTGCAGTTTTCTTGAAAGCAAATTGATGACCAATATTTGAATATCAAATTGATACCAAAAATTTGTATCAATTTGTATCAATTTTTAAATTTGATTCACATTTTTGGTAAGAATTTGTTGCAATTCGTTGCAAATTGATACTTTTAAGTTAAGAGTGTGAATAAATAAATAAACAAAATATATTTATATTCGAGCAATTTGTCCTTGACACAGTGAAGCAATTATACAGTCGAGCCACTGTAAATAAGTCACGCTTGTTCTTTCCAGAAGCACTTGAGAGATCGTGCTTCGATATCGTCTGGAATTAATTAGCCGATCGAAGATCAAGCATTCCGACTATGAAATGGTCACTGCACTCTAACGCCGGACGTTATATTTGAGTTTCTCTCGTCATCATTTTTCAAACTTGCAAAACTCTTATTCATAATATTATATTTCAGTGCAGAAAATACTTCCCAGACATTGAACTCTTTCCTTCTCAACTCTTCTCTTCCTGAATTAATTTCTATTTGTTTATATAAAACTTTAAAAAATTGTATCCGTGAATTCATGCACATACAGACATTAAATTGCAATAAATCTAACCTGGAAAATTTTTTTGAAAGTAACAAATTGATTCCAAAGAATCAAATTGATAACTGAAAACATTGGATCAATTTTTAATTTGGTTCACATTTTTGGTATCAATTATTCTTCTTTTTCTTAAATAGCTTCTTGATAAAAATGGTGACTGCATTTCTCCACTTGAGAACGCCAAGGTCGCCACCAGGTGTCAGGCAAAATTCTAAGATCAAATTCCTCGAAAAATGTAATAATTCTTAAAAATTTTACCTATTAAAATTCTTCAAAAGAATTCAATTATTTCTAGAAACTGTAAAAAAAATTCTTCTCAAGAATTCAATTATTTCCATAAACAGCAAAATTTTTCAGATTTACTAAATTCTTTTGAATATTATTTTTTAAAAATATTCTTCACAAGAATTCAATTATTTTCATAAATTTCCATAAAATTCTAAAAAAAACATTTCAATTATTTTCAAAAAGTAAAAAAATTCTTCGCAAAAATTCAATTATGTTCAAAATTTTTTAAAAATTCTCGTCAAAATTTCAATTATCTTTAGGAATAATTAAATTCTTCTCCAAAATTCAATTATTTTCAAAAAATGAAATAAAATTTTTGGCAAAATTTCAATTATTTTCAAAAATTTTTCTTAATTCAATGATTTTTAATAGGTATCCACTATTCTATTAAAATTTTCCAAAAAGAATTTAATTATTTAAAAAAAAACATGTAATAAAATTCTACACAAAATTTTATTATTTTTTAAAAATAATTAATTATTTTTAAAAAATAATAAAATTTTCACAGGACTTTCATTATTTACAAATTTTTTTTTATAAATTTCTTCACAATCATTCAATTATTTTCATAAACAATAAAATTTTTACGTGGATTCAATTATTTTCATAAATAATTGCAGAATTTCAATTATTTCGAATGTTCAATCAAATTTCTCGAAAAATGTAATTCTTTTTAAAAATTTTATTAAAATTCGTCGATAGAATTCAATTATTTGAAAATTTGTTGATAACCATTCTTTGTGGGAATTGAATTTTAAGAATCATTCAATTATTCAATAAATTATTTATTTTTGTAATATATAATTGAATTCTAGTAGAATTTTCTAATAGAAATCGATTTAAAAATTCATTTTAGTTAAAATTTTATAATTGAATTTTGAAATTAATATTTTTGAAAAAGTTTAATTGAATTTTTATAATATTATTTTAAGTTATTATTTTCTATTATGCATTTCATTAAAGAATTTACGAATAATTGAAATTTCGTAAAATTGAATATTGTAAACAAATGGATTTGAAAATTGTCGAAGAACTTTTTTGAAAATTATTAAAAATAATCGATTTATAGAAGAATTTTATTTAAAAATTCTTTTAAATATAATAATGAATTACAAATGATTTTATCACTCGGTCATCTTTAAATTCTATTTTAAATAATTAAATTCCAGTGGAATTTTTATTTTTTTGAAAAATAATTGACTGTTTGTGAAAAATATTATCAAAATTTTTGTTAAGTCATTGAATTCTTTTGGGAAAATTTATTAAAATAGTAGAATATTGAAAATCATTGAATTAAGAAAAATTTTTGAAAATACTTGAAATTTCGCCTTGAATTTTATTAAAATTTTTGAAAATAATTGAATTGTTGTGATGAATACTATTTTTTTGAAAATAATTGAATTTTGCATTTTTTATTTATTTATAAAGATAATTGAAATGTTGACAATTTTTTTTTAGATTTTTTGAAAATAATTGAATTTCTGCAAAGAATTTTATTAATTTTAAAAATAATTGAATTCTTATGATGAATATTGTTATTTACAAAAATAATTAAGCAATGAATTTTATTAAAATTTTAGAGAATAAATTTGCTATTTATAAAGATAATTGAAATGTTGACGAGGATTTTATTAAAATTTTTGAAAATAATTGAATTTTATTACTTTTGAAAATAATTGAATTTTGCAATGAATTTTATAATTCGAGCCCTGCAATTTCCCCCTAAATGAAAAATTTATAAACTCATAAATAAATTAAAAACAGATTTTTATTTAACAAACAAAAAATGAAAATACCAGTCACACTATCTGCGTTTCACTTTAGAAACCTCGAAGCATACTTTGTAACTTATCAAGAAACATTTTGCATTCAATTGTATTATCTATACAATAATTCAATTTATACTTTTAGAATATATATATTTATAGAGTTCTTGAAGGTTTAATTCCGTATTGAGACATTTACAACAACGATAATAATAATAATAATAGCGAAATAAACTTTTTATGAATGCGGAAGTGTATTTATTGAAATATAAATATATATGTGTGTCAGATTTCCGTATTGATAATGAAAAGTAAATGTTCATGTTCACGTACATGTAATAGTGCGAAAAACCTAATTTTAATTTTATTATACGATCCATATTTAATAGGGTGGATGTCAATTAGAATATTTCTTTATAAAGACGGGTTTGTTAATTTAATATTTCGCTTATAGATACTGACGTTGATGAAGATAGTTGTGGAGAAAAAAACAAATTATCACATAAATATTAATATAACTTCAAGAGCAGGAAATGCTGCAAAGTTTATGTACAAATGCACTATATTCATGTATGTATAAACAACACACAGTCACACCTGTTGAACATTTAATGCGCTAACTTTTAGAAAAATTACATTTTGTAACATAAATCACAATACTGTACAATATACTAATTGAATTTACAATAATATTTCAATCTAACTCCCACTTAACAAAACTAGAGCGTAATTTATTTTTATTTATTTATAACTATTTGTTCTTTATTTATATTTATTATTTTTTTATAACTATTAGTTCTTTATTTATATTTACTTATTATTTTTTAAAATTTTTTTAATAATAAATTTTCCATCATTCGGGTTAAATGATTTTATCATTTGGTCAATTCGGGTCTTTAAAATTCTTAAAAACCTAGAAAAGTTTATTTTTTTTTTGTTAAAGAAGAAAAAGAAAAAGAAGA